AGAGAGAGAGAGAGAGAGAGAGAGAGAGAGAGAGAGATGTGTGCTTATCTTGCGAGTGTGTAGTGCAATTGACACGCCGCCCTTTGTCCCATCCACTCCTATCAGTAAGCGTGGGTGGCAGTACTGGCAGGACGTCTATAGGCCTACGGTAAGCATTGAATCCAAACTTTCACTTGTTGGTGGGGTATTCTGTTAATTTATTGTAAGTGCCTTACGCTCTCCATCGACACAAATATGATTACGGAGGCAGCAGCTTGTCAATGCGAAATAGCGTCAAATGGGACACAGCATTCCATTAGAAAGAGGGAGATGCTCGATAGACTAGACTTCCCCCTCCCCTAACGGAAATCGAACTCACCTCTTTTGCTAGCATGAGCCAAAAAGCGTAACAATTTCCTCACATAATGTAGGTAACTTGTTTAAATATCTGAAAAAGGAACAATTTGCCTAAAGGAGTTGAATGGTTCTCTAGTAAAATAGAGAAAAGAACTCCGTAACTATAACTATTAAAACGTCTGTTTTATGTTGAGTACGCGCCTTGGCTGTTACCAATTCAATGTGCCCATTCTTTAATACTTAAGTTAGGTGACGTATAAAAACGCACCGAATCCCATACCTGTCACAAGGTTCCAACACTCGCATTTTCACTTTATCTCCGATCTTCAGATAGGCCCAGGAGTCCTTTAGAAGAAAAACGCAAAGAAGGAAGGTTTAAGTCGGCGTTTTTACTAGGAGTTTTTGGACCCACAAACAACCAAAAATTAGCAGACGAAAAAAAAAGAAAATCAATATATGTTCTAAGTTTGGCATTTGATCTATTTAGGGGAGGTGGAGGTCCTAAATCAAATGTATTATAGTACGTCTTTGCTGTCCAGGCACACTTTTGTAGACTGTCATGAGACAATGAAATGTCGGTATGCCTTCTAGGAAACACAATGTGTGTAATCTCAAATGGCCCTTCCACTTACAGCGTGAGAACCAAGAAATAGAACCGCGCCTCCTCCCCAAGCCTCCTATCAATCCCTCACCCTCTTCCCCTTTCTCCCACAAAAAGTGCCGATGAAAATTTTAAAAGTAAAATCAACAAATTAAAAACCCTAAACCAATAATAAATATGAGTTCAGTCAAAATCAAATAAATGAGAATCAACAAGTTCTTCAAACCTCCTTTTAGAAAAAAAATAGAAACCTACAAAATGAGGAAAGTCCTCGACAACCTGATGCACCAAGGAAAACGAGTTCTTAAGGTTATCTTGTGTATGCATCTTTTGGTCTTCGAACAATCTAAAACCAACTTGAGCAAAAGAAGGCATGACAGACAGGCTGATAAGGTTCGCTGCAGCTGCTTCATAGGATCAGAGTAAAACCATTTATCACAATTCACAAAGGAACGTCTGAGAGTGCCATGCCTGTTCTTTACCGCTGTCTAGGATTACAACGGCAGAATACGGATGGTTATTCAGGCAAAATACAAGCAATATCACAATATTTACGACGGAGAGGACAGAAGTAAAAACAATAGGTGAATCTCTTTTTATCTCTCAAGGGAATGCAGTAGAAAACAAAATTGAAAAAGCTAGTAGAGACACGTAGGACATTCATTTCATTGGCGATGATGATGATGGGCTTTAACATTCCATAAATTATAACACAAATCGACCAATAAACAGATATATTTGACGTGGAACAGATAAGAATGACGGTTGACCCTAGTGAAATGTAAAAGGAATACACCGTACAGAATTTATGTCATATCTGATGAAGAGGTTATGAAAACTGTATATTACCACTCTGGATGTAGATTTAGCCTTATTTTAATCGTAGGCACGAAGAATTAAATTGTTCTAGTACAGTCACAGGAAGTATGAAATTACGATTTATCAGCCTTGATTCACAGAAAAAAGTGTTTATAAACACACTCATGCACACACACACACAAAATCGCACACACAAACACACACACACTCACACACACACACACACTCTCT